TTTTTTTTTTTTTTTGCTACTGCTATTGCTATTGTTTTCTTTAGGTGTATATGTTTTGGCTAAGAAAATTGCTAATATTATTGCAAAAATATTACAGCTCTTCCCTCTGAATATTTGATTGATCACACATTTATAATCGAACAATAACAAACAGTTTTTTGGTTATTTGATTGATCTGTTTTAACCTCAAATAGTTTTCCACGATAATTGTGTGAAATGACAAGAAAAAAAGCTATTCTTTCTTCTTTTTTTTTTTTGCTCTTCTCTTTATTCTTTTTCTTAAACTTCTTCAAGAATTATCCCAAAATATTTGCTCTTTTTTTTCTTTCCCATCCCCTAACTGCAATTGCTGTTCAATTTTTTTTTAGCTCGAACAAATTCTATGTTTTGTTTCCTGTTCTACTATATCCATATTGCTTTTACTGGTAACGGTTTGGCTGATGTATAAACTGGAAAATTAAAAATTGCAGTAAAATAGGGAAAAAAAATGCAGAGTAAAAAAAGGCAAATTTGTAATTATGAACTGATTTGAAACGCAACAAAACATGCAAAGAACGTCATCCGAAGTTGTTTTCCTCTTATCAACTAAATCAATCAAAAGGAAACAACATAGGGTGAAAAAAAAAAAAGCGAAAATGAACAGCACAACAACAAACATTCCGTATTGCTCATCAAACGGTGCTCATGCAAAAAAAATTATCTGTTTTTCTGTTTGCTTGTTTCCGTGTATCTGCAAATGTATATTTTTTCAACAACTCTTCATGTCTGTTGAAGTTCCGCTAAAAAAAAAATCAACCAAATAAACTGGAAATCAGTAATTGTTTCTTGAAAAAATTATCCCTTAAACTATATGTATTTTCACACGGCTCTCCACGAAACCAATTGAAGCCAACTGCTCTGAATCATACTTAATCATACCTCAACTTTAAACTACCATAGCACGCAACATCCCACTCCTGATAACGTCAACCACTGTTTCTAAGCATTTTGCAATAGAATGACGTCTAATGACCAGAATCAGAAAATTTATTTCTTTTTTTCTTCACTCTTCCTCAGTTTCCAATTCAGTTTGCGTAAATCGCTTTTATAATTGCGCAAATCATTCTATGACTCAGTCATACTGTTGTTAGTCCATTTATCTCCACACATCCAATAAAATTCCTAGTTTTCTGCACAACTACCCTCGCAGACCTGATTTATACGATAATCGTTCTGATGGTATTCGAACTTTTTGGCTAAACGTTCTGATATGCTTAGAGCAACAACCATTTCTCACATCGGTATTTCGATGACGCTTCAACGCATTCTTCGTACGCTTAGGATGGGAAATTTGTTGTTTAGTATACTTGAGTCACAGTAAACAATTAAAGCCGATCTTGATCACTGCATCAAAAAAAAGCAATGTTTTAGATATACAAGCAAAATGAAAAAGAATTAACAACAACACTTTCAAATCCTCATCTTTCAACAGACTCATTTCCCAACTATAATTATTCCATTTTGACTACTTCTCCCCTTTGTTTTTTTTCTCTTTGTTTCTTTTCATTACAAACATTTTTTTCAAAATACTTGTAAAGATAAAAACAAAACATTTTAGAAAATAAAAGTGAAGTGAAAATTCAGTAAAAATTGATAAATCAACAAAACAAGCTTTCCCAACAACAAATGGCTTTCCAATGCAACAGCTGAGGTATACTGACCCTCAAAAACAGTATTCACAACTGAAAAGTAGCAAAATAGCATTAAATAAATCACAGATACAAGGACAATAGATCAATCAAGTTATCCTTGTTCTAACAACCAAAACAATATCAATGAGAAAGACGAGAGAAAAAAACTAAAGTATATACTCCTTTTTGGTCATAACTTGTTCACAGTTTCTAATGATAGATAAAACGAAAATATTCAAAAGACCAATGAGTGTCATAATAGTCCCCTACTAACAATCATTAAGGCATTCTTTTCGATATTTGATATCAGAAAACATGAGTTAACACCAGAACTTAGACAGAGTTTTCATAACCTATTGATCGATAATTAACGCTATCATTACTGATGTTTATTGTTACTTTTATTATTATTGTTAACTGTTCAAGAACTTCTGAACCTTTCCGCGCATACCCTTGGAAACCAACCTCTGGGTACGTTTCTAAGTTCAGCAGCAGTTTTCAATTCTTTTCCAACCATAAGCCTTCCGTAAAGCCAATATTTGTTACCCCGTGTCACCAACCAGTGTTGTGATTGCTGTAGAAGAAAAAAAGAATGCGTTAAGCTTAACATTACAACTCTAAAGAAAGCGATAATCTGATTGTCAAACAAACAGTATTAGTAGGGTGAGTCACAGTTTTAGAATCAAACACATTAATTCGAAGCAAATTAGCTTCAAAAGATTTCATCTGACGTAGTCGAAAATTTTTTCGTCAGCAATCAGAAAAATGAAAAAATAGGTTTGATCATCATCATCATACCTGTACAGAAACTCTAGTTTCATCGCTGCATGGTTGGCAGAAGAAGATGCGCAGCCCTAATTTGATCGACTGCAAAAAACCACCAGGATGACTCCGAACAATTACATATTCTCGCGCATGTTCAAGTTTAAGCCATTTCTGGTAGATTTGTTCTTTCTACAAAAATCATAAAGTCAATACAATCATTTACAGAAAAAGGAAGAATAAAAAACTGGACTCTTACAGAATTAACCACAATTCATAAAGCTCAGCCAACAATAACAATAGAATAAACGACAAAAGCAAAAAAAAAAAAATCAATTGAACAAAATAATAAAAGTTGCGACAGATGATCAATTCAAACGCAAAACATGAAAACACGAAGTGGCCCCTAAACAATGCTGATGACTTTTCAAGATAAGCAGATTCAGAAGTCAACAGATACGCTAATGACATGAGTAGAAAAAGCAACAAACACACTTTAAAAAAATATATACATAAATGAGTCACATTAAGGTCACCATCTACAGTCGGCATCCTTCATCATAGAGAAGGCATTCAAGCAAATAAGAACCCCTTCT